TGCAAGCGCATATATAATATGCTTCTGTGTTGACCACTTGAACCATAAAGTTGAATCTTGAAAGCCTCGATGATTTTCTCTTAACTCTAGTTTATTTAGAATGATTTAACTTTGTTAAAGTGTGTTATACTTGATTATGCTTTTAAGCTAATATCTTTCATTTTTCGTTGTAGCAACAACAAATTAAATATATTTATCACTAATTCAGTGCAACACGTGAACAATATATAACTAATGAAACATTAATCATTCAATGAACCGTATAGACACAAGGCTGAGTGGTCCTATGCATATATGATTTACACTTGTTGATCTAAATCCATTTCAGTTTACATTAAACTTCTTAATTTATGAAGCATATCACATAAAGTAAATAAGCAGAGGCATAATAATATAACGAGTAGATATGCAATGGCCAAGCGACGTGTAGCCATCGAGGGCATATGCCTCCTCACTTGGGAAATATGACATGTATGGGGTATAAGATTTTTATAGTTTGCAATTTGCACCTTCTTCTTATATTCTGTATTCTTTTATTTTAATATTTTAAACTTCAAAGATATTAAATATTAATATATAATTTTACTATACCTAAATATCAAATTATTTTTACTATTTTAAAAAATAAAAAAAATAATTTAAATAAATTAGACTCGTGTCGTCCTCATTTTGAATATTAGTTAGCAAAAAGATAATAAAAAATAAAAATTTAAGAGTAAACTTATTAAATATCTTTTACTAACTCGCTATATTTATAAGTTTATAATTGAAAGTTGAATTAAAAAATAAAAATAAAAAAATGAAAGAAAGATAGTCTATTTGGAAGTGCAATATTTTTTTTTTAATTTTTACTGAGAATCCTGACTTTGCTATTATAGATAATCTTATAAAGCATTTGACGAGAGCTAGCAAAGGGAGGTGACAAAAATTAATTAACTAACGTTCATATTCTTTTATCAACTTCTTGGTTGTATTGTTGATACTACTTATTGACACCATTTTTTTCCTGTTGAAGGTAATGTCATTCTCATACCAATTACAAGTATCAACGTCAACGTCAGCATCATAATGATCAAATATATATTAATAGGATTAATTTATTTATTGTCATTAGCAAAAGTTATATACTAGAGAATATCTGCTTCACAAAAACTAGTGGTCGTACCACTTGGTCTAAGCTATGATCTATTTTCTTTGCCCTGCCCGTGGAATTATTCGTTTAGTATATGAAGAAATGTGTTTATTTATTATTCTGATCAAATGAAAGGATGAGACATGAGAATCAAATCTCGTGTCCTTTACAGAAACGTCGTTTTGGAGAAATAAGAATAAGAATAGAAAACCAGAAGCAGCTAAGAAGACAATTTGTGCCCAGCCTTTCATGCGGTGAACGAAGCTTTACAGTTAATTAAGATAAATATTTTAGAGATAATAAGATAATTTATAAAAAAATAACAACCCAGTGTGACAGAATGATTTATGACATAAAAAAAAATAAAAACAAGCAAACAAGGAATTAAATCTTATAACTTATTCAAATGTCAACTCACTATAAATTAAATGTAGTATAGAATAATTCGGCCGCTGCTCGAAAAAAATCTTATATCTAATAAATATAGGATTCAAACTCTCTCTCTCTCTCTCTCAAATATTATAGATGAAATGCCAACCTCTCCCATAAAAAAGAAAAACCCTCCCAAACATATTTAAGATTGTGCTGTAGTCACAACCTATTTGTCTATTAATCCTAATGGATGGATATGGAATCAACTTTCCGCCTGTGATTAAATATAATGCAAAGTTCTCTTTTCATATATTATTTTATATTACATCCACCACCTCCCGCTGATGATGATATCCATGCAGTACAACACATTTTACAGTGAAATTCTCGTACGCTAGCTCGCTCCCTCCAGTTTAAAGTACTCTTGAATTTTCTACATGGCAGGGAGTAGCAAGATCGCGGGAAGCTTCTCAGTGATAGGTCGGAATCTTCATTTATATTATCTACCTCGCCTGCGCATTCCTGATTATTAGTGACTTTTATTTTCTCGTTTAATTAAATTGTGTGTGTGTGTGTGTGTGTGTGTGTGAGAGAGAGAGAGAGAGAGAGAGAGGGAGGGAGGGAGGGAGAGAGAGAGAGAGACGTGGTTGGACGTCGTCAATGATTAGGGAGGAGAATTAACCGTGAAATAATAGCACCAACACCGGTGACGTGCCCACTGCCTTGTAATCTCGACAATCATTGATAAAATCCGTTTTTGGTCCTCTAATAAACTCTCGTCGCGGCTGAACCTGACTTGGTAATTGTGATACCAAGTGCATTTTTGTTAAACCAGCTTTACATGGGACACGTTGTGATCATGAGAGCCTGGCGTGAAGAGGCGGCTGACAAGTGAAAGTGTTTACAGGGCTGCGGCGTGAAAAAGTCGTGAAATGTGTATCATTATCGTCACAGGCTTTAATCGGAGTCATGAAGTAAAGGGAGGTGCCCGTGAATTAGGCTAATCCCGGCCGTCCGATTGAGGCTGTCAGTAGATAACGATACGGACGCCGATCCTTCTCATTGCGGCGCCAAAATCTTCGACCCCACCACTTGCCAACAAGGCACCTTTCACTATTGTACTCCCGTCTTATAGGTTATTTATACAAGCACATATATTTACATTAGGAATGCTTGCATTTATGGATATAATTTTTATATTATTAGCCGATAGTGTGATACCGCGTTTGTTTGACATGATATGAATCCGTGCTCATGAAAAAGCCCTTATGATGTTATATCAGTGAAATGAGTTATATTGAGTTATTTACAAAACGAAGGAGGGTCAAGACACCTTTATCTCATATTTCATCTTAAAAAATAACTTCAATTAAATTTTTGTTATGTGTTTTATCTTGTCCCAAAAGTCATCCTGTCTCGTTAAGAAGACATCCAGATGTCCCAATAAAGCAGATAATATGAGAGAAATGCTTGAATAATAATATTTATTAAAATTTTAAATCATATAAATTATTAAGTTTAAAACTAAAATAACACAAATATATAAAATCACAACAATTAAAGTCAATTATTAAGTTACATCAGTCATAGCTACAAATATACAACTCAAAGTTCAGTATACATGAGACATAATATATTATGATAGTAATTATAAGTAATTTTTAAGTTATAAGAGCAACAACAATAGACAAGTCAGGTATAACATTAAGTCATTATTTTTTTTCTTTAACTAAGATATGTTAAGCTAGTAATTCTTTCAAAAATAAAGCAAGAAATATGATATAAAAAAATTAAATAGATAAATATAAGAATAAATTATATTAATATAAGTAATATATTGGAAAGAAAGATATCACCCTATTTTGCCTACTTCGTGTCATTAAAATTATCAATATACAAATTTTTAGTTTTAATTAGGAATTGCACATATCGAAATTGTAATTAATATAAGTATAAATTATACTAATATAATTAATACATATTTTTAAAATAATATATATAATATTCGAGAAATGATAAGATGTCTTGAGGCAACTCAGTGTCCCATCTTGTCTCGTAAAGTCCTATTCTCATTTTTTTCAAGTTGAAAAAGACTCATCCTGATGTAATTAGGATGAAATTCAACCGACTAAAACCGGCGTAAGATTGAACACCCTTAAGTGATACCAACTCGATGTGAGTCATAAGGGGATTAGAATTGTCATCATCCAAGCAAGTTATTGAATATTTGAATCTTAACCCTCACATACAAAAAAAACTTAATTAAAAGAGCTTTATCATTTTCCCTCGTATAATCTCGGAGAAGAAAATCCTTGTTATTGATGGGGTGGGTCTACTTTGTTAAAATGGTGAGAAATTAATTCTGGTTGAAAAGGGGAACAAATCAAAATAATTATGAAGATAAAGGGGAAAGAGTTGCATGGCAACTTAGGGAGGTTAAGGCAAAATAGATTGGAATGAGAGTAATTTCAGAGAAACACGAATCAATGGTTTTATAATTTTTTTTCTTTTGACCAAACAATGGTTTTATAATTTAGTGACGTAAAATTTTGTATGAGCCGGAGTCAATGGAGGAGGGGTATTCAGGCCAAAAAAATAAAAAAGTTGAGGAGGGGTAAGGGCCACGTGGCCAGGAAGCAGCAGGGACAGTTGGGAAAATGCGATTCACTTTACCAACTTTGTTAAAAGGCCTTCTTCGGTATTTGCATGCCCGTCGTCCCTTCCTCCATTCCTTCTCCAACCCCAAAAGGCCATGGCCTCCTCCCCCTCTTCATCATCATCATGAATGTCTATATGTGATGTGCATTCCAATTTTCACCTTCCAATGGAACATTATGCAGCACCACCCCCCTCACCCAAAAATTCACTGGATAGATGTAATCATTACCATTTTGGGGTTCTGGGGGTGCCTGATGGTAACGCCTCCCTTTCCCCCTCACATATATTTTGTTTTTAAAAAAATAGTGAAACTCCCTCCCTCTCTCTCCACAAGCACCAAGACTGCGCAGCCACAGCCGCCATTTCCTCTCTTCCTTTTTCTGTTATCATTACATCCATTCCCCACCCATTTTCATTGTTTCATTATTTTATTTGATATTTGATTTCATCTTCCATTATTTCTCTTCTTTTTTTTATTCTAATTAATTAATTCACTAATTTATCCCTCCCAATCTTTTTTCTTCAAAAACAGAAAAGTGATATTGTGAAAAGTACACAGAAGGTTACACAACAAACTCACCAACTGCGCTGAGAATATATCCAGGCGCATCATAAAACAATGTTGCCTTTCAAAAAAGAAACTCCATCAATTCAATAATATTCCTAAAGAATACAGAAGCCAAGTAATGGATTATATATACATACACTGTGAGAGAGAAAGAGAAAGAGGGCTTTTTTTCTTTACCAAAAAAAAAAATCGGAAAAAAAAAACCCAAAAAAGCCAGGTATTTAAAGCCGCGCAAGGGCCCTTCACTCCCTGCCATGATCAACCCCTCCACTCCCCAACCAAGACCCCGAAAGTCTGAAACACAACTCAACGGTTTTCGCTATTTCTTCCCCCTCCCTTTCCGTTTCAAAATTCATTCGCTCTCTTGCTTTTCATGCTATTTCGTTCCACCCTGTGATCCCCTTTCACCACTCTGTCACTGCTCTCTGTTCCTAATTTCGATGCCCTGGCTCGGCTTTCTTGCTTATCACCCACGTTAATCCGTCTTGAAAACGCTGCGATTTCCTCTCTCCCTCCTTCCCCTCTCCTCTTTATAAACCCCGCCCCTGCCGGCGTTTCTCCCCACTTCATTCCCGCTTCCCATATATCTGATCTTCGCTCGTCTTGTGGCCGCACTACGCTCGGGATTGATTATCACTATGGGACAACACTCTGAGACGGTGGTGGTGAGAGTATTCGAGGCCGACAAGGACCGAGAGAGAGTGGAAGCCATGGAAAGGATATGCGAGGTCGGACCCAGTGGGAAGCTCTCCCTATTCACCGACCTCATGGGTGACCCGATTTGCAGGGTCCGCAACTCGCCTGCCTTTCTCATGCTGGTACTTCTATATTCAATGTCTCTCTGTATCTTTTTCTTTTTCTCCGACGGTCCCTCTTTCTCCCATTCTATTAGCGGTCCTCCTTTCCCCGCGGCTTCTCTTCTTCCTGTTAACTATTAACAGTCTTCTTGTCAACTCTTAACTCTCAACTATATTACATAAATGATTAAAATAACATCACGAGGTGCGCTGTACTACAATGTAAGACTGTTGTCGCCCGTGAAAAAATAAAACCGATAGAATTATATGTGACGATTGATAACGCTCCTGGGTTGAACAGGTAGCTGAGATGGGCCAAGAGATAGTAGGAATGATAAGGGGCTGCATCAAAACCGTTACATGCGGGAAGAAGCTGTCCAGAAACGTGAAGAACCCCCATTTGAATATCAACGACGTCCCTGAGATCTTCCAGGCTGCTCCCAGACACGTTCCTGTGTACACCAAAGTCGCTTACATTTTAGGCCTGCGCGTCTCGCCTTCTCACCGGTACATGTCTCAACCTCTTCATTATGATGAATAATGATAGTAACAACCCGAGTAATTATGAGGGATGATATCTGATATGAGTGTCTGTTTGTTGTGGGCGCAGGAGAATGGGAATAGGGTTGAAGCTGGTGCGCAGAATGGAAGAGTGGTTCATAGATAATGGGGTCGAGTACTCGTATATAGCGACGGAAAACGACAATTTAGCATCCGTTAAGCTCTTCACCGACAAATGCGGATACTCCAGATTCCGTACCCCCTCCATCCTTGTCAACCCCGTTTACGCTCACAGAGAGAAGGTCTCTCGCAAGGTCACCATCATTCCACTCAGCCCCGACGACGCCGAATCCCTCTATCGTCGTCGCTTCGCCACCATCGAGTTCTTCCCTCGCGACATTGATTCCATCCTCAACAACAAACTCAGTCTCGGGACCTTCCTCGCCCTCCCAAGTGGGTCCTACTGCGCAGATACATGGCCCGGCTTGGATCACTTCCTGTCGGACCCACCAGAGTCCTGGGCAGTGCTCAGCGTCTGGAACTGCAAGGACGTGTTCACGCTCGAAGTGCGGGGCGCGTCGTGCGTGAAGCGCACCCTCGCGAAAACGACCCGAATGGTGGACCGGGCCTTCCCGTGGCTGAGACTGCCGTCCATCCCGAACTTCTTCAGACCGTTCGGACTCCACTTCCTGTACGGACTGGGAGGTGAAGGCCCGGAAGCGGTGAAGATGGTGAGAGCCCTGTGCGGGTTCGCGCATAATCTGGCCAAGGAACGCGGGTGCGGGGTGGTGGCGACGGAGGTCTCTAGCTGCGATCCTCTCAGGGTCGGAGTACCTCACTGGAAGATGTTATCCTGCGACGAGGATTTATGGTGCATCAAGAGGCTCGGGGAAGACTACAGTGACGGCTCTGTGGGTGACTGGACCAAATCTCCAGCCGGATGGTCCATTTTTGTTGACCCCAGAGAGTTTTAACTCTAATTTAGTAGCGACCAGAAATGATTCCCGATTACTAGTGACGACAAAGAGTGAAACACAGGCGAATATGGGGAACCCACCTTTTTCGTTACTGTTTACTAATTAATCTTTCTCGTTTCTGTTAGTTTGTTTTCTACCCGCTTTCTTGTATACTTTTTTTCTTTTCTTTTTTTTTTGTGGCATTGGAGTCCTGTAATTGGGAATTATCTGTGAGGGTGGTGGGACGTGGATTTTTGGTTTTGTAAAGGAGAGAGAATATCCCGCCTCTAGTATTATCGATATATCTTTTTGTAAATGGATGTGGCTTTTTAGATCCTCTTTGAACCAAACGCAGCTTTCATGATCTAGTGTTGTTTACCCATCGTCTTTTGGCGACTCTTGCTTTTTATAATTATTGGTTCTGGCCGTTCGGGAATGTATGTATTGAAATGCATGCTAAAGCCCTCTCTAACTGTAATGGGGAAGGAGATGCGTGATTTAAGAGAGGGGATGGTTGAGATGGAATATCCCTGGCTGTGTTTTGTCCGTGTCGCCAAGCTTTTCTTAAAGAACCTTTTAGGGACTATATCTCCTGTCCTTGATAATATGCCCCCGGGTGGGGACCTTATCCTAGCCAACTTTGTTTTTATTGGGTTCCTAGTATCTTTCTTATTCAGGGTAGTGGGAATCAAATGGTGCCCATTATTTTATTTTGTGTCCAGGCCTCCTCCTATAATCATCACTCTAGGACACGCTTAATTTCTTCTACTATCCAACATCGACTCTCAATGGGAGTTGGGAAGGGAGTTGGTGTGCTTTTGCTTTCAAGGGCTGCGCAATTTAACGAAAGAAATATGACAGTGCTCGATCACTCTCATTTACATTTGAGCGAGTTTGGATACATATGATTGTAGTTTAATACGACTTTCCGAGAACTTGTGTTTAGGGGCGGGTGACGCAGAGAAAACCACCCCGAGGAAAACAGCGTACTTGAGCCAAGGTTCTGATTTAGAGAATACTATATTGCAGGATGAAAATGTGGTGGAGTCTGGAGAAAGCAAGTGGGTTTGCGAAATAGTTCTATGTATTCTTTGACGCGATCTGCTCACTTAATTTTTTTTTTAATTATAGTTTTTTGAAATAGCCAGGACGCGATTGGGTTGAGTTTAAATGTGGAGAGCAAGTGGGTGGGTGGTGTGGGTGCTTTTAAATGGGGGGTGAGAGTAAAAGGATGATTAATAAAGCTAGAAAAAGTATGGAGCATGCAAGTGTTGGGATGGTTGGCGATGAGACTGAAAGATAAGAACGTGAAAAGGAGAAGCAGTGTGTTGAATTTAATTTAATTTTGGGAAGAGTGATTGTGGATGTGGGGGGAGAGAAGAGGGTAATAGAACATAGAAAGAGGGTAATAAGATGGAATGGAAGTGAGGATAAAACTGAAACAGCGATCCCAACACAAGCAAGCACCTTTCACGGGGATTTGCACTGAAATGATTATAATGGTAATCACGAGCAGGCCATTGAGATAGTTGATGCAACACTTTTGAGTGAACGCCAGGTGGCGTTCCCTCGCTAGTGGGCTTCTCCGTTCCTTCATTTTCCTCATTTCTCCTCACACCTCTCCTCACTGCCACAACTTGATTGGTTTTAAAATGGACTGAATCCCTGAAAGCATCTCATCCAATCTCAACCACAATGCTCTTATGTGTACCCGTATCACTTTCTCTCTCGCACGCACGCACCAGCCGTGAGGATTTTTCCTGCCAAGTGCGAACTGCTCAGTGCTCTTTCTTTGTTCTGTAAAAAAATCGCATCATCACATTCACAAGACACTTCTTGAATTGACAAGGACTTTTTCGTCTTCCACTTGTCCATTTTGTGTTTTTCCATGAGAATGCAGCTTCTTTTTCATACATATTTTAACATTAACAAAATTAAATCAAAAGAGAAGCATCCACATGCCAATAAGGATAGTTTCCTGTATATACTTACATGTTACTATAATTAATCTTCTATATTATTGTTCTTGACATGTGGAAATAACAACTTTTTAACTCCAGCATAGAAGCCGTAGAGAAAAATAGATGTTGGAGATGGGGTTTAGGATAATTTGGTAAATTTCCAAGTCAATGGATCGCAGGGCAGATGTGGCTTGACCGGGCAGTTAGCTCCTGCATCAATTAATTGAAAAGCTAAATATAATGCTAAACTTTATTCGATTAGGATGGTTTACTGTGGCCTATTATATTCTTTTTCTAAATATATAACAGCTACTAACCTATCATCTATATTCATATGTGCAGATAACATAGCAACTTTGCAGATAAAATAATCTCTTTTGTCATTGTTTTCACCTTTATATATTTAAAGATTTTTGTTGTTAATAAAGTATAATAGCATAATGTAATTTATATAACTAGTATGATAAGGATTGTTGTTATGTTGTTGTTTTCACATCAGGTAAAAAAAAAATCATTTTTTTCACCGCATATATGAATAAAAGACTTATAACAACAATAACATTAAATATTATTTCAATAAATAAAATCAGCTACATGGATCAGATGATTTGGTCGACTCTATCAAGTATCAACAACTTTCCACACATCATTCACCATAACATCCAGTTGATCTGCATGAAAGTTGGGCTCTACAAATAGTTAAAAGTAGTTCAGAAATATCCATAACGTGTCAAAAATATTAATTAATAACACACGCTTCATCATATTATTTTCAAAAAAATAATTCTCTACTCTTAACTAAGCGCCTAAAAAAAAGTCATCACGAGAAGTTTCTGTCCGCGTTCCGTGTAACTAGATGAAGATTACTAGGAAAGTCAGAGTCAAAGTACTCTCATCAAGAATTTCAATTACATTAATTGAAATATTCAAGTTGTAGCGTACGAAGTTCCTAGCTTTATACAAACATTACCTTTCGTCACTGCACATGTAACTATCCTTGTTTCTTTCTTAATAAAAAAACGCAGCAAAAAAAAAAAAAAGGGAGCGATTCCCATTTCAGATGGAGCAAAAGCAAAATGTCATTAAAGACCGGTCATGGATATTAATTAACACCGTAAATTATTAATTATAAATTGGGTCGATGGTACTCTAATTATCCCAAATTAAAAGATACTTTTAAAAAAATTAACATTTTAAGATATAAAATATTTTAAAAAAATTAAGATTTTTTTTGGTATGCAAAAAGATTAAGATTTTATTAAACAGGTTTATTTTTATATTATCCTTTCTTTTTCTATTTAATTTTTGTCCATCTCTTTTTTCAATATTTTAAACTGAAGATATTTTTCAAAGTTTATGTTTTATTTAAAAAAATAAAATTATAATATGTATTTAATAAGATTTATTAGTATATAAAATTTTATCTAAAAATATTTTATAATTTAGAACAATGGAAGTAAATCTATCAATTAAAATCAGCCCAACTCTAAAGAGTTGAACGGGCAAGTCTTGTTGAGCCTGATGCTAACTTGACCCCTGGCTCTCAGGGTTTTGGCCTTTTTTTTATTTTTTAATTTAAAAATATATTTAAAATTACAAAAAAATTATTATACATAACATTGAATTTAGAAAAATAAATTTAAGACAATTCACACAATAACAAATTTAAATATAATAAAAAGTAGCAACATCACAAAATTAGCATAGATAACAATTAAATTTTTCTAATATTATTGTTATTAGTATGAATATAATTTAATCATTCTTTTTGAGTTGAAGCCTGAAGGATCGATTGAATGAGAACACACTTGATAGCCGAATGAAATAAAATTAGAGTTTTAGATTTTTAATCATATTTAATTTTTTTTGGGTGCACGTGCACACGGGGGTGCGCCCCATTTATTATTTCACACACCAAAGTAATGATCTGATTCTAAATTTTTTTAAACTTAAAAAGATCGACCCTCAATTAAAATTGACGGCTCTAAAAAGGAGTTGATTGTCAAGGGACGGGCAGGGTGGTTCTGAGAGTGTTTCCTGCTTTTGTCCGTGAGCATTTTATCTTCTTTTCTGTCTCTTCCTTGCTTCATTGACTCACTGGCTACTTGGGTTTTGAAGATGATGAGAACATTAGCGTTTAGCTAGCACTCACAAGTGCCCGAGTAATCACACTCCATCAATTTTGTTTGGTTGTTTCCTTTTCTACGTCAACGGCTTTTAATTATTAGATCCGATTATCTTAACCTTTCTCTTTCTCCCTTCTATTTGAATTTAATGCAGTGAAAAGGTCTTGATAATTATTTTTTATATATAGCTCCACATGCATGGGTTGAACTTGAACAGGGATCTGAAAAACTTCAGTTCCGATTGATATATTTATAATTTAATAAGCCCAGGGCAAAATCACCTACTTTACCTGACATGTTGAATAAGTTGTCCTAACTCCTAATCATGCATTATTATTATTAAATTAAAAGTCCGTGCTTTTCTCGTCAGAATAATGGAGTCGCCAAGAAATTCCTACCCCTATAGGTCAAGGTCAATTGCATTAATGCATAATATTCAAGCACAATAAGAATTTAAAAAAAAAAAATCGAAGCAGCCTAGTAAAAGTTGGTTGATTATTATTATTATTATTTTTTAAGAGAAAAGGGTCAGTTCTAAGTGCAAGTTGTAATAGATTACTTAACTGTGAATATATATAGTAATTGAACCGCTTGATCAAATCATAAATCTACAATAATTTAACTTCAAGTACAGATGGGAACCTTATTAAGTAGTATTGTATAAGGCTAGAAGCTAGTAATTGAACGAGCTGGATAATCTGATATATCAGATGGTTAGGCCGTTAGGAAAAGACGATATTCTGTTGCTAATACTGGCACATGGTGGCGCATTGCATATCCGGAAATAGATATTAAGCCTGATAGATCACTTGGACCAGAACGAAGGAAAGAAATATTAATGGGGCTTAGCCTCAAACTTAATTAATGCAAACTGCTATAGAATCTAATGAAGAAAAAGGAAGCAGCGATAATTTTGTTTACATATAAACCAAGTTGAAAATTATTATTGCCCAGAGAGGCGGAAATCAATCGGATTTAAGATGAGAAAGGAGGCGAAGGAGTACAAAGCAGAAGTGACATTCCCTTTCATTATGGCACAGCAAAACCGGGTCACTGTTATGGCCCCTCCCTATTTCAACAAAGATAGAACAAGACAACATTGACTAATCGGAAAATGCATCTCTGGGAAAGTTATACATCCACATACAACAGGAAAAAATAACTTTCCCGGTGCTTCATGCTTCCCAAGTCTTCCGTTGATGAATCAAGTGCCAGATGTCAGTAAGCTCTAGCTCCTACTGCTACCTTAGAGTGAGACGATTACACATACGACTGAATATATTACCAAGCGTTTTTAAGATACAGAGTGCCTCCTACTTCTGGACGGGGTGGACTTTGTTTCCTCAACTACAGTAGAAGCAGGGCTTTCAGAGGTATCAGAGCTAGTGATCTCGCCATTTCTTTCTTTGCCTGACCAAATCTTAGAAAATATTTTCTTTGATATACGGAAACCTTTCGTTTTGCTTGCAGCAACTTTTTCACCATTGCATTTACCACTATCGTTGCTGTTTATATCACTACCTCGTCCGCTGTCTCCTCTTGATAACTTCATTGTAGCAAGGTCCCCTTTGAGAACCTTTATGTCTTCTGCCGTGCCATCCCATTCATCTTCAGTATTGGTTGTCGTAGACCTTGAGCTACCATGAAACCCACCAGGAAGCAAGGCGCTAACAGACCCTGGCAGATCAGGCGTGTTCTGCCCTGATGATGCCGTGGAAGCTCTCAGCTGCTCGAAAAAGAGAACCTGCACAACAACACGCAAGGGAAGCCTCTCATTCTGCACTGCATGCATGCAGGCTTCTGCAGATAACTTCCTGCAATCCATCAACCTACATATTCTTTTCCCATCGCTCTTGCTCATTCCGGGATGTTCCTGCACCACATGTAAGCATATTAAGCCTGAGAAACTTGCTTGAATGGGGTTGCACTGAAAGTGTTCTTTTATGATGTCAACAATCAAAGTCAGTTTTGAAACAGTGGTATTTCTATTGGCTATGTACTGAATATATCCGCTATGTAACATCAGACGAGATGAACAAAACAGATAATGTCAGTTAGAGTTCATTGTTCTTTGACCAAATGGAATATCTTAACACAGCAGCACATGTTTAAATATAGTATATTAGGAACCTCAGCTAATATATTCAGGACAACAGAGGAGAATGAAGAACAAATAGCTGAAACTTGATCGGGCATGTATGAGGTCCTCACCTTTAAATACATGTCAATCGCACGATAAAGGCCATCATGACATGGTGCTGAAAAGTTCGATACCAACTCAGCAAGATTAACAAATTTTGAAACAGTCAAATTTGGATCACGAGCAATCTCAGCGAGGTAGCCATCCACCAGTTTTGCTACCTTAACCTTAGACGTCTCTGATATTATCCTGGGCCTTTTGATCTCCTGCAATTCATCTTCCATTGGAGAATCAGACTGTGCATTCCGTTCATGTGCCACAAACTCTTCAACTAGCCTTTGCACTGTATCAACATCAAACATAGTTGTCTCACCAGCTGGTGCCCGAAACAAGAGATCAGCCACTGTAGCCTCATCAAGGTGCTGGCCTATTCTCCCCATCAATTCTGCTCTCTCCAGCTCTTCACATTCCAATAGAATAGCTGCTCTCAGTAACTTCAACAAGAAACTGCAGGAGATACTGGCTGTCTCCACTGGTAGTAGTTGAATAATTGTCTCCAAGACTAATCTATACTTCATGACATCACCACCCTGGATCACACCCTTGTGAAAACCCGGCAACCGTCTTGAAACATATGCACTTAGAGCTTCTCCGATCACAGCACTGGAAACATTGCCCTTGGTTATAATTGTAGTTATGACGCGCTTATAGGGATCAAGTTGGAGCTCACAGAGGTCTTCCACCCACCAGTCCTTTGGAACCATCTGCTGCTTCCTGACACCATTCCAATGAGGATCATTACCATTTTCATGTGAGAGCTTTTTTCTGTTATATGTGTATGACCACTCCACCTTAGATGGATCCATTAAAGCCTTGTTAGCTATTGAATCGAGGCAGTGGCTTACTACCTTAAGCTCCTCGGACCACGGAAGAAGACACTTGGAGGTTTGCAGAACAATAATTGAGTCTTTCCAGCTCCTGAAAATGCTCGAGTTGAGGAAAACTTCAATCTTGTAGATAAGGTTACCTTTTTCAACTGTTTCATACATTTCAAGATATTCTGCTGCACAACGAGCCGCAACAACATTGTAAGCATTGAGAGTGACCGTCATACTATAACAGAACTTCGCACATATTTCAAAAGCAGCAGGACCTCCGGGAATGTCATGGATGCTGACTTCATTGTTGTTCTCCTCGTTGGTGTTTGCAACCAGCTTTTGCATGCGTGCACTTTTGGACAAAAGGGGAAACTGCAGATATTAATCGAATTAGAGTCACAACTGGCCCAAAACATATGCAGAAGATATTTACGTTTGTAACCAACCAATTATCTACATTTATTAAACGATAGTAGTCAGGATGAAACAATTGGTTATATGATTAATATTTTTCAAATGTTAATGTCATCTGCAATCCTGTCTTACTGCTACTGCAATTATATTGTTAGAACAGCATAGTCAGACACCCTCGTCAAGTGAATGATTCAGAGCACATACATAATTAGATACTACACAAGTACTGGGCTCTAGCTTTCATAATACAGTAAAAGTTTCCATGGCATTGATTTAGAACAGCACTTTCGTTCTACTCTTTTAATTTGACAAAGCATAAGAAGGAACATAGAGCTAGTCACTTTGTCATCCAACCAGACGAAACGGAAACTACTTATCCTCATCTTTCCCTTTACTCAAATTCCTTTTCCGTGTATCAAACAGTCTAAATGTTAGATTTCTTACCTTATGGAGATAAAACTTTACATCTCCAACATTAATGACTATGTCAGTTGCCAACTCAGTTGCCACATACCTGCATGTACATATGCCAGTTCATGTGACCTCCAAGAAATGAACAAATCAAGAAGAATAGAAAAGGAAGAAACAAAATTAAATAACAAAAACATAACAAAGGGAAAAAAAAAAAGGACAATCTGCTGGACCTAAGGTAGATGCAAACACATAATTTCTGCAAGTACAAATCTGATTTGCACATATTAAATACAAATACCCACAGGGTGGAACTATGACTCTTTTTCTCTATCTGCTAAAAGCACACCATAGCACAAGTTAAATAACAATAAGCATGGAACAACTATTATCTGGGAGTATGGCAAAGGTGCAGGCATGCGTCCAACCAAATAAGGCTACTGTGAGAAGGCCGATTCAGGCTTGCAATGGCTGTGACGAAAATTGAAGCCAGAACATGAATATACTAAAATATAAGAACTATATGGCAAGGATAGAAAAAGTGATAATTCTACTCAAATTTCCAGTTCATAATTATTTAAAAACATTCAAGAGTTCTATCCTCTCAAGGTCGAAGGCACTCATCCATCATTTTCCCCTGAACAATTTTATTTGCATGGAAACACAGATCAACTTCCAAAAACTCCAACATTCATGCAACACCACTTTCAGTAAGGCTACTCCCTTTTGCTTTGGTCAAAATATATTGAGAAGATGGATGGATGAATACCCTTGAGTGAAAAGTAAAAAGTGAACCAAGCCTGTCACTATACTAAATACAAAGAGCTAATCAATTACTGCGAAGTAGAACGGAAAATCAGGAAGTAGATGTTAAAACATGATGGCTCTGGACCAGAGCATTTCCAAGCTATCTATTTGAAGAATAAGATTATAGCCCAATCTGGTACTGTAATAAAAGTCAAAATTCAGCGTCATCATTATGTGGATATTTCGACTGCGAAAAATTCTCCGACAGCAATAGCTGATTTCGTCCATATTTGCATTAATTTGCTAGGCGCGTGTCTATATCTTTTTTTTTTTTATTTCCACCAAAACAAACTGTATAAAGTATGAACTGATTCAAAATAAAGGCACACTAATCTACTGACATTTAAACTGAAACAAGGCACAAGAACAATGAAATCAGAACAGGATTCAAAGTGAAAAGAAGACAAAAATGAGATTTCAAGAAAATGAAAATCCATTAGAGCAATAACATACCCATCATGCAAATTAATAAAAAGGAAGTAAATTTGGCAAAGATCTCACACCTGATATTATCGACATCAGTCTGGAAAGAATCAGGCTTAGATCCAAGTTTCATAAACTTCATCTTGGCTGAAGCAAAGTATAAGTGGGTCCGTTGTCCCTATTGGATCCAATCCCTAGGTTCAGCTATCGCCGCCGGTAATCCAAGAAGCGACTCTCCGGCTATGAAACTCAAACCGGAGCGTATGGATATAACGAAGGAATATGAGTAAGTTAGAAAAATTCAGGGTGATGGAAGATGCATCAAATAGAATTGTGGGTATGATTTCCTAGTATGACCGAATCTTTCCCAGAAGCCAAGGCCAGTAAGAGGAGGTGGAGGGGGTTTGTGTGTATATTTTATTTCACTTGGAATGGAAGGGACTCAAAGAAGAGATTGCTTACTAAATCGGTAACACACCCCAACGAGTCCGGCAAATATGGTCATGTTAGGGGGACATTGCCAACAGAGTACCTCGAACTTATATAAATTTCTCAAAACCAGAGACACGCCCACTTGTTCAAAACTGACACCACCGTCTAGCGTATATTTATTTTATGTTTGTCTAGAGATTTGCCTTCTTCCTTCTCTCTTTGTTATTCCCAACAGTGTGAAGACATGAGCAAGCTAGACCCTTTTCTGGTCAACACAGTTTTAGAATTTAGAACCCCAAATCCTATGATCAACATTCCTTTACTAGCCACGTTTCAGCTGTGTCTCTCCATTAGAGCCATAGAACCTGCAATCACAAGACAGCATATCTCGGTATGAGTTTGAGGAAGGGAAACCACCCAACATCATAGACAAAACGCATCAATTTTGATGGTTTCAGGCCAAAGATCGCCGTACATGTTTCGCAACCGAAAATTTTTAGCCACTGGAAGAAAAAGGCTCTTTTGAATTTAAAGAGTCGGTAGAAAAAGGCATTTTATCAGAATATAAATTAACAAACCTGCAGAGAAATCAAGCCAGTGAATATCGCAGAATCCGAAGATGTAAAACAGAAAGAGTAAGCATAAAGCGGCAGGGAAATAGGCAAAAGGTAACAACAGGAGATGAAAGAAAAGAAATGAATCGGAACTGAAGCGTGCCAAAGGGGAATATTGAGAGAGCAGAGTAGGATTGAAGGACAAGGAGAGGAATACAAGCAGAAAACTTGGAAGGGGAGGGATGGTGGCCCAATACGGTGAGAGATCTGAAATGGGGCACCACAACAAACATAAAGTTCAGTGCATGAATTGCACTATATCTTCATAAAGCCCCACACATCACAGAAACCACCGAACCGAACCGAAAAGATCACCTTCAAAGAGATGAGCTGTTCCTCTTCACCTTTGACAGCCACCACAACAACACAAACACACAAGGCCAGCCTATCTCAGAATGTTCCCACACGCGCGCGCGCTCGCGCTCTCTCTCTCTGCTTCAGAGCCTTTGAATCAGCACCTTCGTCCCCGCCCTCGCCCCCACCACCGCCACCGCCACCACCTCTCTCTCCCAATGTCGTCGCCCTTTTTGTTTCCCCCTAAACTAGAATACGAAAGCATTTAACTAAACAACAGCGCTATATTTTTTAAAAGGAGATGTAATTAAAAATAAAATAAAATTTGGAAAAGTAGCGTTTGAACGAAGTGAAGCGAATGAAGGTGGATTGGGCTCTACCTAGCTGGGAAATAGAGCGACTTCACTTGAAATGATGAACGTCACCACCACGAGGCCCCCACCCATATATTTAGTCTCTTTCCTTCTCTCCCCCCCACCACTATGCAGGATGCAGCATGCAATGCAATGTTAAGTATCGCACGCCCATCTGACAGGCGCCACTTTTTTGTGCTGCGTTCGTTTCATCCTGCGAACCCAATTTAGCCCCCCAGCCCCCCGTTTTGTACAAAAAGGACCACTCTATCTCTCTAATTTCCTCCTCACAAATCATATGCACATCCCATTATTCATTATTATTAACTATGTTTATTTACTTTTTGGGTTAATTAAATCATAAAATCTCCGTTTATGACAGAATATATATTATGGAGATTAGATTGCATAAGCCATAACTGAAGAGACAAGTACCCCACACACACACACACTCTCTATCTTGCATGCATAAAATGTCTTACGAAGATTACTAATCAAGGCATTTCATAACATAAATGAATCCTTGTTCTACTAACTACTTAGACTTGGTTAATGTTGCCGCCGAGAGGTTATAATTAGATGATCATTACATTACATGGTTCTTCCCTTGCAACCAATTAATGCAATAAACGAACCAATAATTATATTTGGCTCTTATCCAGAACTCTAAAGTAAATGGATGTGATAAATTGGGTTATTCTCTTAACAGCTCAATGAATGAATACTTGCTCATCTGCCTCCGTTTATAATGCAAGTGGTCTGGTGAATTTGGGTTGCATTTTGTTTGGTCCGCACACTATTTGGTCATAGTGTGACCACGATGCTTTCCGTCGACCAATCATCTCACATGCATTGCTCTGATCTGCTTCTTCCGATGCCAATTATAAAAAGAGAAGACTGTCAATTGGTTTTATCGTATTCGCTTTCTCTAACACATCCCCATGATAATGCCTAAATTTTTTATATTATTCTCCCTTCCATCGAGAATCTTTTCCCCAGAAAATCAGAATGGAACGCAGAAACAGCCTCATCACATGTGTATAATATTATGAGTCTTTCCTATCTCACTCGCCAGATAAAGAAAGAAAGAAAGAAAGAATTGCGTTTTCTCGCGCATCAGATGCAGATGATGATGCAACAGTTTGGACCTGTAGGATCTACGAAAAAATGAGATAGATTCCTGAAAAACTGTCGCAGCCTTGAATTATAAAAATGGAGCATGTTACTGGCACAATCTTTGAAAGATTATATTCATAAAGGTTGTCGGGTTTTCATCTAAACTACACATATGAAGAAAATTAAGATCCGTTAGAACTCTGATAATTAACGACAATCAATAACACAATTGAAAGGTTAAATAACAATTCTGAGAAATATTTCCAAATTTTAAAAACAGGTCGAGACAGTCACTACCAGTCATCTCGAGTTTGCGGATCCGATATGCATGCGCAAGACTTGTCTAGTAGTATAACGTAAAAACGTTAAGAGAACATTGTGGATAAGGTGACTTGTACACTTATTTTTGGTCCCAACAATGTGTGGAATTTTGACTTATACCATGTGGCCTGTGGGCATGCTGTTTGATGATGGTCGTGCTCAACATTATTTTCAAACTTTTTCAAAAGATAATGTCTTTCCAGCTCAACTGAAATTCCTAACTTGAGGAGGGGACCATCCAAGTCTGAAATGTCCTTAAATCAAGGGCACACATAATAGTTTTTTTCTGGTATAAGGGCACCTTTGGTACAAGTAACGGAGCAAATTCTGTAATTCTCAGATTAAAAAACCCAGAAATTTAAAAAGGCATCCTCAAAAGCAAACCTTAGGGAATCGGATATGTGTGGTGGATAAATTTACAACGCAGAGAGAGGATTATCTATTTTAAAGTGGGCGCCGAGAAGGGTCATCTAGGTTTGCTGAGGTTTCAGTAATTATCACGGGGCACATGGCCTCTGATTCTCATTATCATCCGGTAAGTTCCATGAGGAACTTTTATGAATTATTAATAATAATTGCCAGGGACATGAGAACTAATTATGAGAGTTTAAAACAGTGTCCTGTAAAAGGTCACTGTTTTAGTGGCCAGTTAACATTAATCTCCTCAGATACTGCCAGTAGGGAGGAATAATGGAATATGTAATATTCTTCTTTGGCACATACTGAGAAGTTCAATGAATGTTTTGATGAATCAATTATATACACAAGAGATATAAGAGAACATACATGAGGAAAAAAAATTCGAGCACAGAGAGGTGTAATGATTTGGCGACGAAAACATCACTTTCAAATATCTACCACAGTGGATGTCATTTTCAGCTAATCAAGTATATGTACTTGACAGCGCTTAAATTTTCTGCAAATTTGATTGAAGGGCATGCAAAACGTAGACTTTAAATTGCACTAAACTTGCAAGTCTTAAAGTGAACTAATCATCGACGAGAAGTATTCCGTACTTCCATGTGGAATCTGCCAAAAGAGATGTCAAAATTATTCCTTCTTCCATGGGATGGAATGGAAGATTAACGCAAGAAGACGACACAAGCAGGAGATGCCAGTCCGAAAGATCCATTATAGTTGAACCAGAAATAGTGAATGTTGAATGATATTTAGTTACGTGGTCACTGCTTTGACCAAGAATATACTAGGTTTATGGCGGATTTACTCTAGCTAGGGCCTAGGTTTGATGGTTTATGTAAATGATTGTAGCTTTCGAGATTGGAGCCAACGCACTGAACGGTGCCAACAACTGCGTGGTCTCATGGTCCACAATTCATCAAAGTTAGGCTTTTCTTCTCGGCTTCTTATTATTTAACTTTTTTCTCTTTGAAAGTGCCTATTCACCAACCATTATCTACAAACCGTATTATTGGTGAGACAGTTACTAAAACTTATTCTTGTGTTCAAAAACTTGGCCTAAAATTTGGATACATATCCATTTGCTTCAAAGTCATTGCAGAAAACATTGCTGAAAGATGGGATAGTGGGAATATTGTGACGTAGAGTTTTAGTGCCAGAGAGCTTCGCTGGTTTGTTCTGTTCAATGGAGGCTATATACGTTGAGTTCTTGGTTGTGATGAATTGCAGCAATCAAAAGGCGACCGGCATATGCATGTAAATTGAAATGCGCTTGGTAATTGCGTGCCTCTGAGTCTGACATTTGGTTCAGTCATTCGTATTTATGTATCATGAGGCTTCATTGCATGTGAAGGTAAAAGGAAAAAGTGCATTTCTTTCGCGTCGTCCCCATCATGTCTGTATATATGTTTACGAATTATGAGCATTAATTCACATTTAGATGCTTGAAATGGTAAGGCATCCATAAACCCATCATAAAAGAAACTATAATTAACTCCATTTTTGCTATACTATCATTACTACATCTACGTATATTCTCAGGATTCTCGTCTCCCACTTTATTTCATTCAACGTGCGATCGGATTTCGTCAACGTTGTATTTTGTCTAAATATTTTTTTACAACTTTTATTTCATTTAGAGTCAATTATAGCTCAAAATTTTTAAATTTTTATGTTGGTGAGCTAATTAATTTTGAGAAACGCGTGGATTTTTCTTTTCCTGAGTCTCATTTAAATTTAATCTACTCTTTCAGTCATAATTATTTTGAGACAATTTTAGGCTCAGTCATGTAAAATTAACGGTCAACAAATTTAAGTCAAAAAGAAAAGTGGGCATATGTTTTTTTATGGGCCTGATACAGTGGGCTTAAGTGAAGTTCTATTTTCAAAGCCCAATATGTCAACAGGAAAAATATGTATTAAAAAACAAAAAGACTGAGGTATGTAAGCAATGGTTTGAAAAATTACGGAGAAACGAAGCTAATCACTCTAGGATCAGAAAACCCTAAAGTGACCCCACCAATTCCCTGTGAGATAAGTGCCACACTTAGTATTGGACAATATTTTGAACATGATTCTTTTTAGTAGGATGATATATGTGGGGCAAAAAAAAGAAAAAGAAAGAAAGAAAGTCACACTCCGTCAACATTGTTGCACGCAAGTTAAACTCCGTCCTTCAGGTTCAGGCCGGCCCAAGAAACCACCTCCACTTTCAAACCTGCCGCCAACTGCAGAGGAGAATGGAGAGTACAGACTCGTCTCGGTCGACCTCGAGTTACAGTCGAGACTGGCTTGTGTCGGTCGTAGTCTGCCTGAACTCGAAATCGAATCCGAAGGGAATTGTGTGGCGGTGTGTGGCCTCCCTCGTCCTCGGGGCTTGCTGCTAGCTCCCTCTGAATTAGATAGCCCTTGCTGTATGATTTATAGCCTCTGGCCTCTATTCTATTGCCTTCATAATTCTTGTGATTTCTTCTTGTATTTAAATTTAAATTCCGCTGGTGATATAAAGTCTTTGTTTTGGTTTTCAAGTTTGAAGAAGACAAGTTGCAATTAAGTGTGGTCCTTTTTTTCTGATCTTGAATAAACTATTGCTGGCTTTGATTGTGCCTCGTCTTAAAATGGAGCCTCAACAGCTTGACCCGAAGCACTGCGTAGAGTTACTGAAGTAATCCGTGAACCGATTCTTTTAACGTTTCATTTAGCATTTTGTTTGAATCAAATGGTCTTTTGATCATGTTATTAACAGGCATTTGGACAAGCAGAACGAGTTCCTCATGGAATCGTACAGATTAATGTTTCACGAGCTGCAAAAACTTCAGCTTCTTCATATTTTCAAAATTTTGCTTTCTTTCAATTCTCCTGTTAATTAAGGTTTGTAATTTTACATTTTTTACAATAACAATATCTACCTGTCATACTCTCTCTTTGCACTTCTATCAAGGGAGGAGGAAAAAGTTTAGGACCCATAACTAATTTGCTGAGATGGTAACTAGCGGATTTGGAGAGGTTTGAGGTGTGTGAGTGGGAGGAGCAAGACATTGGGAATATATTATGGGTGGGGGGGTCAGTGCTAGGAGGGCATATTATGAGTGAATTGCTGTGGAGAGTCTCTACCTCTCAAAGGCATAGGGACCTTGTTATTGTTTGGCTGATTCTATTTTTCCTTTTGATTTTTAGTATTTAGCATATCGTACTTACTAAGACGTACACTCTGGTGAGATTAGTATTGAATTGGTAAGATTTCCGGAGAAGTTTCCATCAGATAGGAATGCGGCTGTTCTATAGGCACTGTTTATCTACTAGTAAGGATGATACAAGCTCTAAGATGTTATGGCAACTTGTTCGAGACAAAATAATGTCAATTAATTTATTTTTGCACTCTGATCTGTGATACTATTGTGTTACAGTGAATTTGTTGCTCCATGTCGCCCTTCTTATCAGCAGTCCCATGCCGCTAAATAAGGTTGCCTATATAGCTCTAAATGCGCTCCAAATGTGCTCTCCTCTCTTACTACAGATAGTTCGTAGCTCTAATTTTGATCTCTAAAGCGTTTTTCCTTCCTTTTCTAATGGAAGGTTCGAGCTGATTCTTTTGGCTATTTATCAGCTTCTTGACGGATTTATCTTCTTCTTGCATTAATATTTCAATTTAGATTTTTGAAATTATTTTGGCGATGACTTATTATGCATACTAAGTCATAAACTCATCGTCATAAACTAGAATCCCTGACTGCTGGAGATCGTCTTGTAGGTGGAAGAGGAAATGCTTATGCACAAGCTTCACGAAGTTATGTCTGCTCATGGTATCACTGAAAAGGTCCGTTCTTTTTTTGTTTTGAACCTTTTTTATCAACCTACTAAGATGATTGATATTTGCTGTAGAATAGACAATACCAGTTCCTAACTTTTGGAATAAGGAAACACCGGTTGCTTATGTAAGGAATGGCCCTAAATCATTACATATCAAGCTAGTGAAGGGAATTAAGATGCTTAGTTAGGAGAGGAGGTTCTCTAACACTATGTTTGGTTGGAGGGGAGGGATTTTGATGGAGAGGAGGGGAGGGAAGGGGAGGAATCCCTCCCAATCTCCTCAATTTGGAGGGGAAGGGAGGGAAAAATTTCATCCCCTCCCCTCCAACCAAACAAGGGGTAAGAGTTTTGACTCATTTTTTAATCCATATGGCTTCAGTTTTGCCTGGTGATTTGCCCCCATCTTTTGTAGTTTTTTTTTTTTTTTTTGGGAGTGGTTTAAGGCAGGTTAACGTGGGTTGTTTTGCTTGTTATTCACTTATTTGTGACGATATTTTTGTTCATGTACAGAATAAAGACAGCTTTAATGGTTGCAATAATAGTGAAGCTGAACGACCATGTGAAAGCCATTAATTCAATGCAGCAAATGCAGAACAGAGACAATTCTTTGAGGCCTGTTTTTGCTATCAGCATTTTTTTTTTTTTTTGGGAGAGTACGTCTACAAGAGTTTAGCTGCTCCTGTGATTTTTTTTTTTTGGAAGAAGAGCCGAAGGGGATATTTATATCAATTTGAAAGTTTTTTCTAGTTTGTTTAAAGCTTGTACTAATAGGGACATCTTGGCAAAGTTTCCCTTAGTAGGGGGCGTATTTCTGAGGCAGGTGCTGGGAGAAGCCTGGCGAACAATTGCTCCAAGCTCTACGTTGATGGATCTATCCTACAGAATGGCTAAAGCGGATGTGGAGGCATTCTGTTTGATGGGGACCTCATTTGGCAAGGTGTCTTTAGCTGCAAGCTTTTATCAGTGCCACTAACGATTGCTGAACTTCTAGGTTTTATCCAGGGCTGCAATATTTGTTGGGAGCGGGGTTACAGAAATTTCTCAGTTTTTCTGGACGGTGCGGAAGCGGTTAATCTGATTCTGAGGGGAAGTGTAGTGCACCATCCTTTCCAAGACATCATCGCCGAAGCTAAATCTTTCTATTATAGATATTGGAATTTTTCCCTTAATCTCTCTTATAGGGAGAAAAACACTTTTGCTGATTCTGTTTGGTACAGAAACCAAATGAAAAAAGATGTTCTGGTTTTTATTCAATCTGGATATGCTTGCAAGCAAAACGAGAGTCCTATTTATACTATTGGAATTTTAAAACCGAAGCAGCAAAATAAGGCGAAGGTTACAAGGATTTTTATTATGCATTAAGGGAGAGATTGTAACTCTCCATTTACTGTCATTAATCCATTTCCGTTGCTGCTGTTGTTTTCTGTTTCACTATTGCTAGATCTGCTCATTAGATAGTGCTTTTTGGTTCTTTGATCATCCCCATCTTTTATTAGGAGGTGGGTGTTGATGAAAGAAGAGCTCTTGGTTGATTGTTTGTATTTGAAGATTTTGTTGTTTTCCAGGTTACAGTAGTATTCAGTTTTTATTTAAAAAACAGTTATATATATATATATATATAATAATTTAGAAGTTCAATTTGTACTACTGTAATTGTGTGCACAATACACGCACACACACATGTGCGCGCGGGCTTAAATTTGGAGGAATAAGGCACCAAAATTTTAAAAAGAAATTAATTTAATGTGACATCAATAAGCCTCGCGTTGGGGTCTTTTGTTAAATGAATACATAGTCTAACTATATACAGTGCATTTTTCTTTTACCTTAATTTTATCTGCTCTCTCTATCCACTTTATAAAATATTTTTATAAATGATTTGGCATTTCAAAATGAAAGATGTTTTTTAAAAATTAGATTTTATTAACAATGATTATTATAATATTACATATCATTATTTTATTTTTTAAATAAATTTGTTCCTCTCCTTATTAATAAAGGCTAATTTTAAAATTTTGTAGAAAAATTAAAATTATAAATTATATTAACAATATTTTATTAGCATGTACTCGTCTAAAAACATTTTATAAATTAGGAAATCCCATTCCAAGAACGGGGAAGGAAAGAAAGAAAGAAAGAATCCCAACCCAAAATGCCAGTTTCAAGGACAACCAAGCTGTGCAGTCAAGTAGCGCATCAAAGCTCCGAACTTGACTGGGGTACTGTGACGATACTGAGACGCGTCTTTTTCGTGCTTCTTTTTGTTTGTCTCTTCTCCAAAGTACGTGAACCGTGAACGCACTCCACGTCCCTCCTCATGAGCTGGCTCATTCTGTTGGGAGAACACAGCTTTATTCAAGAATTTCTATTTAATTATTATCAAATCCTCAGAAAATTTGTTATAAATAGGGGACATCTAGTTATAAATTATGATAATTAACTGTCGTTAGTTCCTGATTTACATTTTAGACTTCCATATTTACAAATGCTTAAATTATATTTGAAATCTAATTTCAGCAGCTTACTTAACTGTCATTAAGTTGAAATTCTGGAACCTACACTATCATTTTTCTTACTCTATTATAGTTCTTCAGTTCTCTTTCACTAGTCACATTTCCTCCTTGTCAATCATAAATTCTTTTAAAAATTATTAAATCTAAATTATCAAATTCAATTTAATGATCTATATTTGTTATGATTCCTCCTCTACTCTCATATGCAGAGAAGAAAAGCCAACTCTAGTAAAAACAATGTGACGGAAAGTGTGATAGCAAAAGCATTTTAGAAGACAGTGTGCCAGGAAGTGAGAAAAATATAATTGAAACTGTCACCAACCTCCCCACAAAAGAAAACCAACAGATGGTTTGTAGGTTAAATTGGCTGAATCAAAATAGGAACAACTTAATTTGAGACCACCAAATAAGCCTTTTGCAACAGGTATCCAGTATTCATCTCACAAAATCGGGTTAGTTTCAGGTGTTATTGAGGATCATGAATCCTAGTTAAGTCAATGGGCATCAATCATGAGAATTAATCAATGCAACTTCGCTTATCTTCTTTCCAAAATCGCGTGAATAGTTCAGAAAGAAAATGGCAGCTAGTTTGATCAACTCCTGTCTCTCAACGGGTCTGATCATTAAAATTTTCAATTTTCAAGAATCTAAATCATCATTGAGAATATATCATAAACATCAAGCGCTCTTTCGTCACATCCAACTACTCATAAATATTATGGAGGGAATTAAAATTAGCCTTAAACTAGGTCAAGAGCAACATGAATTCTCTGCGTGACTACTTAATACAGTATAGTTATAATCATAATCATAACATAAATACAACAATCACTAGCAGCAAAATAAATTCATCGGCAACGACCTGACATCAGACTCCTAATGGAAGCAAAATAAAGTCACTAGCACCTGCCTAGTTTCACAAGCATTACTCATCCTAGCTTAGAACAAACCGACACTGTAGGAAACCTGCAATTATCACTCTACGTTAGCCCAAAAAAAAAAAAGATAATTCTTCCAATGTATGAATCGAAAATGCAAGACTTACTTGGATCAGAACTTATCAACATGGCGGTTCCTCCAAAGTCGCATGTTCCGCCATTTCTCTTGTGCTTCTGCCAATAGCTGTTGAAAGCATAAGAAGCGTGAGCAACCACAATGTCAGGGTTATAGCAATTGCCTTGAGGACTGATCTCCTGACAGTCAGCACCACCAGCCCCACAAGCATAGTCCATAGCCTCTTGCAGTGTTTCCGCTGGAACACTAGGCTTCGCCACACACCACAGCTTCTGAACCATCCCTATTGCTGGTTCAGGGGAGCCATTATCAGCTGGGTTACAAGGAGGCAGAGTGAAACCGTTAGGAGAACTAGCTGGAACAGAGAATGGTGGCAGTTCTGGTGCAAAAGAAGGCATGGGAGGAGAAGTTGTTTGAGCAAGTGGAGGCATAGGCTTTGTGGCTGCATGTGAAGGAACAGGGTGACCAAAGGTGGAATGTAATGGGGGTTCTGCAATTTCCGGTAATGGGGTTGGCCTGGCAGGGAAGGCACCCATGAGGTTGGTATCCAAGAACGAAAGCTTTCTCATGATGGGTTTTCTCTCTTTAGGGATTGTGGCGATAACATTGATGTTGTTCAGATGGAGAAATCCAAACTTTTTCATGGACTCTAAGTGAGATGACACCAAGCTCAGGCTTTTATCCGAAATTTGAGAGAAATCCGAATGCGGAATTACAGAAAGGGAGGAATTGACACTACGAAGATAGTCTATCAGAGGCTTGAGCATTCTCAAATCGTCTTTGTAAGAAGCAGAGTTTGGATGCAAACATTCTAGATATAAAGGGACAGAAACTTTGATTTCCTTCTCCAAGCCCCACCTCCTAAGGGAGTGATAGACATTCTTCAGAGAAAGCAGAATCAAACCGAAATCTTGTTTTTGGTCTCTTTGGCAGAGAACAGAGTTCCCCACAACAACGGTGGTGATTTTCGTCGCTGGGTAATGTGCAAAAACGTGAGACCTGAGCCACCTTTCGGCAGATAAAATGCTCCTGGAGACCCCATTGATGTCCGCAGGGCTAACCGAAACAGCTACGAGAAGGTCAGGTTGAGATGATGCTTGTAGGATCTCTTCGGTTGTCTCACAGAGATTTAGGAGTTCGATAGGGTCTTGACTAGCACCTACGAATCAGAAAACCAGAAGATATGAAGGGTTTTAACCTTTTGGAGAAACATAGAGGAAAAAGAGACACATTGTACATTGATAGGAAAAGTTGTGAAGTTTACAAGATTAGAAGCTCAGGCTCCAGTATCACAGTTACTTACCAGTAAGAACCAGCGAAGAAAGAAAGAGAAGATGAACTAGAATTAGGCACCCCATATTCAAGCTTTGTCGAGGAAAGGTCCAGAGTCTTGGCCTGCAGCCACAATACTCGTGCTGTAGTTTTCCCCTCGGGGTTGTCACCGCTGTGTTAAGTGGGAGGTTCTGTCTTCTGTGGGGAGTTACGAGCAATCGGATGAACCATAAACAATTAAATAAAATAGACAGGACTGCGACGGGATTGGACCAAAAAGTTGCCGTGCCAAATGAAAATCTGAAATGCATTTTTTTATTTTTTATTTCAAAGCTTTTATCTTTGTATTCAGAAAAAAAGCCATGTCATCCTCAAATAAATCAATGTCAACATGAATTATTATTTAAATATATGCAATAAAATTAATAATTAATCATTATATTCCTAAATTATAATTATAGATAATATGACATAATTCACGTTCTGGTTATATTTCCGGAGTGTTCAGGACACAGTGGGTAAAAGATTCTGTAGATGTTCACGGTCATTTCATGTTTAAGGAAAAAGAAAAATTACTAAAAAGAACCAAATGGTAAAGACAATTCATAAAAAAGACATCTTTCCATATCTGCAAATCACCTTTAAGTTTCTGCGAGTAATCATCTCATTTCTGCAAAAATTTTTGGATTAAGGTCTATGTTTGTTTCAGAACTATTTTTGTAGGAGGATTCACTGTCTCAAATTTTTTGTCATAATAATACCACTCTTGAACTAACTAAAAATCATGACAATGTTGGCATGTTGCCCTCAACATTAAATGGATAAATGTTTATGGTTAACTTTGCTGATTGAGAAATAAATTTGATTCAAATCACGACCATATTACCCTTTTTCATGTTTTTGTATTCTACTTTATTTATTAGAAGAATGATAGATAATTTCTTTAAAATAAGAAAATAATAATTTGGTTTCTCAAAACATGACAATAGTAGTGAGGTTTTAAGACACTCATTTGATATTAAATTTATGTGTCAAATTACTTTAGTAACCCTATGTGGTTTAGAAGGATGTGATTTTCTAAATCATTTTAGCCATCAATGGAACCAAACTTATTAATACTTTTACTAAACTTGTAAACGATATAAAATTAGTTAGACTTTGCTGATAGAAAATTATAATTTTTAAAATTATTTTGATTATTGTTGAAACAAAACTTATGGATATTTATACTAAACTTGTAAACCATATAAAATTAAATTAACTTTGCTAATTGAAGAAAATTGTTGATAAAAAGTTATAATTTTCTAAATCATTTTACTAATATGTAGAACTAAACTTATGAATACTAATACCAAACCTATAAACCATATAAAATTAGCTGTAGAGTAGTACTAAAGTAATTTCACATAAAAATTTAATATCTAAGGAATTCATTATGCAATAACCCAAAAATAATAATAATAATAAAATAAAATAAAATAATTAAGTGTATAAGTTTGTGTTTTAATAGTAATTATATTAGTTTTTTGAATTATCATAACCAAAAGGAAAGTTGCTGTAGTGGCAACTTAGCAAGTATTCTTCCAACAGGTTTCGAGTTTGAACCCGGCTGAGGCAAAATGAGATTTTTTTTTACTTTCAGAAATTATCAAATTACCCTTCTTCAAATCTGATAAAAATCTTCCCTTTCTTCGATTTTTCTGGAGAGGCCAACAGAGAGGGAAGAGGAGCTTTGATTATGCCATTCTTCCAATCTTTTGATGTACCTTTGTCCTTATCTTTTTCGCCTGTGATCGTCGCCAATGTATTCGCTGCCATTATCTCCTCATGCTGTTGAGTTTCCTTCCTTCATTATGTCACCCCTGTCATTGTGCTGTTGCTATGTAAGAGCTGAATCTCTAGCATGTTTGCTTCTGCTTCATCCTCATTGGTCAGTATTCTTGGCTTCTATTTTTCTTTCTTTATTCCAGATTGTGAGATAGTTTTTTGTTTTTGTTGTTAGTGTGATTACATAGTCCTTCATTTTCCACTGTTCATACATGAGATTTCCTCTTCCTTGTTCTGTTCGTGCAATGTGAGCTATTTAAGGTAGAAAGCCTTGAATTTTTTTTATTGATCATTGAAGAATCTGCGTTGTGAGAATTGATTATGGCTATGGGAGGTTCGTAGATTGTTTGCTATCATTTTCCCCTGCATCCGTTGTCTCCTTTTCTTCCTGTGTAAGCTAATGTTAATGGAAGCAAAGAAGTATTGAGCCTGCCTATTTCAAATTGTTTCTGTGCGTGAAAGACTAAATGGATGGTTGAAATCACATAATTATTAGTGTGTGTGTTTTGCTGCTGCCCCTATTGTTTTAAGGAAGAAGAAAATTCAAATTTGCTAGAAATTATCTTAAAGCTTGATAATAATATACATATGGGTCAATTTTTGAGTTAAATTCATCTTTTATTTAAATTTATGGACAATGAAGAATTGGTTAGGATTATATTAGAAGAAATGAGATATGAAACTTGAGGAATGATGACTATAAGATGGTTGTTGAAGTGCTTATTAGTATAAATTGAACTTGATTTTTGAATATTTAGATTTGTTAATTCTTGTGGGAAGTATGAAACTTAATTCGAATGTTGGAAAGAATATTCGTCTATGAAATTTATAATATAATTTTTGAATTTTTAAAGATGGATAGTTGTTGGTGAGATATTGAATGCTAGCATTTTCATGAGTAGATTGGAAATAATTTATGTTTGATACCTTGACCAAATACTAGTGAGGATTAAAAAAAGAAGAAGAGTTTCAAATGTATTATAGTTTAATATTGGTGGGGAGTGAGGCTGGAAAAAGGAATTATTATGTTAGTTGAGGGTTAAATAAAATTTTAATATGATTTATAGAGGGTTTGCAAGAGGAGAATTTTGATTAAAGTGGAGTGAAGGAATTTGAATTCTAAAGATTTTAGATAAGTGAATAACATCCCATTTAATTATTTATTAATAACCATTTATTGAAATATTTTATTTTTATAAATTATTTTAGTTTTAGAAATTTTGAAACAATGATGAAGTACAATTACATTATGATATGGGCATTTATTTTTCCTCAAGAAATATATTTTCAAGATTGATGAGAGCTTGTTTGTTTATTAAACTCTGGAATTCTTGGTTACTTAATTAATGCAAGCTTGTACCTTAGTTATGAATTATTATTTTGACAAATTTTGAGATTTGAAACAATTCATACGAGTTTGGCATTGAGAATGAAAATTTTATTGCAGAAATAATTATTTTTCTCACATATTTAAAATGTGATTTTCAAGAGAACTTTAAACAATACACTGCTGTTAACAGCAATTTCATTAGCCCGTAGCGCGATGTGGTTAATAATTATTTTTTGTTTCATGGACTTTGTTTTCACATTTGTTATTCGTGGACTGTGTGTTCACGTTTGATTTCGTGACTTCGAACTGCATTTGGTTTGTATTACCCTCATGGACTATATATTCATATTTGTTTTGTGGCTTCAGATGCATTTAGTTATTTACCTTCATAGATTGTATGTCCACATTTATTTTTGTGGCATAAGCTACGTTTGGTTATGTTACCCTCGTGGACTATGTGTTCACATTTGTTACCTATTCTATTAAGTTCTCACAATTCTAAATTTATACAAATTTATATATTTGAAATTATAACGGTTTCAGTTGCCAATATGTTATTTCGATCCATATATGTATAAATTATTTTTCTTCTATTATGATGATGTAAAGTGTTTTTAGTTTAAATCTCATTTCGATGGTTATATTGAAGATTTATAAAGTTATTGAGTACATTATATTAAATTCTTATCCTTCCCAATAATTTACAAAAATTGACCGAATTTATTATTTTAAATTCTATTTTTGGGAATGCTATTCATTGAAAAATTTATTTTGGTTTTAGATTCATTATCTGACGATGATCTTACTGCTAACTTCTGAAAGGCAATATAGTTATATTAGGTGAAAATTTTGTTTGGTATTGTCACCTTTTAATGTAAATATTTAAATATTATGTATTTTAATTTAGATGAAAGATTAATTGCTCCACATAAATTATTGCTAAAACTTTATTTTGATTTATATACTGTTTGCTGGCTGAAAAGAGCTAAGCTCCTGACTAATATTATATTCTGTGAAAATTTGTGTCATAAAATTTGTGAGAGATTCTATTTAAAGAAAAAATTCTGCCGAAATTTTTACAAAAATATTGAAACTTTGCTATAATAAGTAGTGTTAAAAATATTAAAATTTCAATATCGTTTGATTATTTATTTTTTAAAATGAAAGAAATTTTTATTTTGAGGTTTTAAAAATGCACGATGTAGTTCACATCCATGTCAATCATCCTCTATTTTACGAGCGTGGCACTTTAAAAAGAATTATTAAAAATTATATTTTATGAGATTAAATTGTTATATTTTATTTAAGAAAAATTTACCTGTCTTTTTCTCTTATTTGTTTACATTTTTATCGTGTTGCTAGTAAGCTTATAAAGGTGAATTTTCTTATCACGACAAACAGCATGCCGGAAGCCTGGAACTTAAAAAATCCGAAGAGTTGCAACAGAACGTACAGGATGCTCGAAGGCCAAGGCAAGAGCCTGTCCTCTGAGAATAAGTCCCTCGGAAGAGTGATACCGTGCAACGAAGAAACGAAGAAGGAAAAAACTCACAGTTCAGGAGCCGCAAGGGAACAACATTTTAAGTTACTCCCTCCTATCTAAATCACAAACAATTTCCAAATACAACCCACTTAACAATGAAATTTAATTATATTTCTAGTTTTTCTTACTTATCCCTATCCCCAGCTAACGATAATAAATTAAGTTACAAAGTGAGCATTTATGTCAATAATTTTTTAACAAGAAATGCCATGTGAAAAAGTGAAAATGATATAAAGCTAACCAGTAAATTGAGAAAAATGTGATGAATTCGTATGCTACATAATAATTAAGTTATTCAATGAGTAAATTGAGAAAAATAATTTCTAAAAATAATAATTTTTTTATAGTTCGAAATAATAAATTTTCAGAGCTAGCGTACGTAGAACTCTGAATTTGCCAAATTATAAATGGAGATCAAGATCACAATAAAAATTAAAAGTAATAAGCCTTGCCAATTTGGAAAGACAATGATCAGCCAGCCTTGCCAATTCAGATGTGAGGTGTTTCCAAAT